CCCCCCCGCTCAGCTGACTTCATCGCTGGGAGGCTCGAATCCGTCCTCCCAGATGACCGGCAGGGTCCTGTAAACGTTCAGAGCCCTTCCCAGAACTCAAGCACCTTTGGAATCTTGGTGAAAAGTGGCAGATTTGGTGCATCTTTGGCTCAAATCCACTGACACAGTAGCCGACACTCAGAGCGCTTCGGGTCTAATCAAACCACGGCTCTCCTCCCCTGGGCCAGGCCCTGCGCCCTGCACTGCCTGGCTGCCTCTGTGGCAGCTCCCCGCCTCCAGGGAGCGGCAGCTACACCCAGGCCGCAGGTGGCCGCCCCAACTGGTCTGGGTTTCCTAGCGCTACACCAGGGTCTGGGACAAAATCTCACAGTCTGACGGCACTAGAAAGCTGGCACCGGGGACTTCGGCTGCAAGGCAGCCTGGCCACGAAATGAGTTCTGATTTCCTGCGACAACCCCCACGGACCCGACCGAAGAGGATGAGGAAATGGCACCGGGCAGTGACCCGCCTCCAGTCCCTGGGGTTTTGTTTCCCACCTGGTCCTTTCTCGCTGCTCCCCGCCCCCCCTCGCTCCACCTGCGACACTGTGCTGGGGACCACTGGAGACAGGACCCACCCGAAACGCATGCCAGCCAATGTGCCAGGGAGAAAAGGCGGCTGGGGGAGAAGGCGGCAGAGAAGGGGACGTTAAACCAGAGCTGCAAATCCGGGGAGGGGGCCAGGCGCGGGGACAGCTCCTCCCCGAGCTGAGCCGGAGCTCGAGGAGCGGGAGCCCCGGGGTTGGCAGAGCCCAGTAAGAGACGTCCCTGGCACCGCCGGCCCGGGCGGAGGGCGGAGGCGGGGGGCTGGGGTGGGGGGCAGGGCGGGGTTCGGCCTGGGCGGCCTCGGGGATCCCACCCCGGCTGCGGTTCCCGGGCCTGGCACAGCCTCCCCGTGCCCAGACGACCCTCAGGGGCTTGCAGACCTGGTGACCCCGAGTCCTGAGGGGCGGCGCTCACTCCTGGGTGACAGGGACCCAACTCGTGACGGCTACAAGGCGGGAAAGGGCCAGCGTCGGGGGCAGAGGGGGAGCAGTGGAGCCAGGATGCGGCGCGGAGGGCAGGGCGCAGGCTGCGTCCCTCCCCGTGAGGGTGATCAGGCGCCCAGGCCCTCGCGCCTATGAACCGTGACGGGGCCCGTGGACCCGAGCGGACGCCCGCCTAGGACCCGGTGTTGCTCGCAGCCGGAAGCGCACAGGGGCGGGCTTCTCCCCTGCACCCAGCGGCCCGCGCCTCCCCTGGCCCAGTCCTGGTTCCCGGTCCCCACCCGCGACACGCTCAGACTCGGGCTCGGATCCTCGCACCGCTTTACTCTGCCCGCGCCTGGTTGGCGACAGCGCGCAGCGCCTCCTCCACCGAGCGGACCTGGCCCAGCTGGATCTCGACCTCCACGGTCAGCTGCTCCGGCTGGTAGTCGCTTTCGAAGATCGGAGCCGCTGATTTCGTCTTTTCTGCGAAAATAAAGACAGCGAATGAGCCCACAGCGCCGCGTGGACCGCAGGGCTCGGGCCCCGGGCGGGCAGCCTCTGGATCCGCCCCTGGTGCGAGTGTGGACGGCTTGGGGAACAAGGCGAACTCGCGCTGGAGCGGGTCTCTTAGTAAGGTCCCTGCCTGCACAGATCGGCAGCTTTTGTCCCGGAAGGCCGTTTTTACAGAGGAATTGACGAGGGTTCAGTCCTGCATAACAAATATGTAGTAAAAGGTGAAGTAATTCTGGCACTTCAGGGAAAACAACCGAGTGAAAGTATTTTGTTAAATTTCTAACATTTCAACTTTCAGGTAGAAGTCAGAATTTTGGAAACATTGTATCAGCTGTCAGGCACTTAAGTTTTCCAATATGCATAGACTTTTCTAGTGATATGGATAGTGATGTTAGAGAAGGCGATTTATGGATGTTTGAAGAAACATGTCAACAATTGGGAGATCTAACTCTTAACCAGTATTTTACAATGCACACGATATTTCACTCGTTACAAATCACACATGGATGAAATATCCCATCAAAGTCACAGTAGACCAGTGAACTTTAATGACTAACGGACTGTGAAAAAAAGCATCAGAATAGATTCACATAAGGAACTAGAGCTTACCAAATTTTTCGTGATATCCACGATCCACACTTGGAGAATGAGCCCAGGACCTTCACACTGAGACAGGGTCTTAGCTAAGTTGCCAAACTGCCCAGGCTGGGCTCAAAGTTTCAGTCCTCCTCCCTCCACTTCCCAGAGTGCTAAGACGACAGGCGTGGGCCACCATGCCCAGCAGGATATCCACAGCTCTTCAAAAGCCTATTGAAACAGCCCTCTCAGGGCCGGGGGATTTAGCTCAGTGGTTTCGCCGCCTGCTGCGAAAGCACAAAGACCCAAGTTCCGATCCTGGTACCAAAAAAAAACAAAAACAAAAAAACCCAGCCTCTCGCCTGCAATTATGTGGTGAAGCTGGATTTTCTTCACACACTTCACAGCAACCTCTCACAAGAACTTCACCATGAGAATCCAGCTGTTCCCAAGCCAGACATGAAAGAGACTGAATTTAAAATTAAAACTATTTTTGAGATACAGAGGTGGGTCGCTTTCAGTGTCACTCTAGCTGGCCTCAAACTCTCCACACCAGACTTAAAACTTGTTCCCATGGTTATGTGCCACAGGTCACATGCCTGCTGTGCACAGGTCTTCAACTCCCGTGTGTAGGCCCTCCAACGTGGATCTTTTTCAAAGTTATTTGGGTTATTTCCATATGAATTTTAGAATCTCCTTGGTGATTTCTACCAAAAAAAAAAAAAAAAAAAAGGAGCCAGCCAGGACTGGCTCTAGCCCTGATGTAGAATCTCTAGATCATTCCAGGAAAGCCAACATCTTAACACTGGATCTTCTGATCTTGCACATAGTTTCTCTCTCCATTTATTTAGGTGTTCGATGCTCCTGCCTCAGCCTCCCAAATGCTGGGATCACAGGCATGGCCAACCACACCCGGCTCACCATTGTTTCTCACGTGGGGGCCCACTGAATTTCTTGGACCAGTGTGTGCAGTTTCTACCACATTCTGAAATGTTTCAACATCACTTCTCCAGCCAGCTTTTCTAGCCTTCATTCCCCCATGGGAACTCCAGTTACAGGGCTATCAGGCCTTCTGAATTTGACTCAAAATAACTGATGGGCTTTCAGTTTTTCTCTGTCATGTTACTCACTTTAACTTTTTAAAGACAGGGTTTCGCTATGTAGTTAAGGCTGCTCTTGAATACACTACGTTGCCCAGGCAGGTCTTGAACTCATGGTGATCCTCCTGCCTCAGCCTCCCAAGTTCTAGGATCACAGGCGTGTTCCACCACACCTGGCTTCAGATGATTTCTGTTGCTTCGGGTGAGTTCAGTTTTCTGTAGTGTTCAGTGCAGCATTAATCCCACAGAGTGCATTTCCCTTGTGACATGGTAGCTGTCACCTCTACAGCTGGTCTCCCGTGCTATTACCAGGTACACCTCTCCTCCAGCTTTGTGAGTCTATGCAATAAATGACGGTAACTGCTTTTCTGTTCTTGTCTACTAATTATTTTATGGATGTGACTTCAGAGTCAATTTTGTGATCATATATTTCTTGCCTTTTTCATGCCTGATAGTTTTTTTTATTGGATGGCAGACATGGTGACTCTTACCTTAGATGCTATTTTTTGGTATCCTTATAAGTATCCTTGAGTTTTGTTCTAGGATACAGTTAGGTTTGAGGCTTTCAGACTTATGTTCCATTTTTTGTTGTTTTTTTGTAAATTCACTATGTAATTCAGACTGGCCTGAACTCACTATGTAGCCCAGGCTGGTCTTGGACTTGCAGTGATCTTCCTGCCTCAGCCTCCTGAGTGCCAGGATCACAGACATGGGGCACCACTTATTTTCCCTTTCTGATAAAAATCTGTGATGTTGCCCAGGATGCTCTGTTCAACCCTTTCTTGTCAACAAAGCCTGTGTATTTTCATGGCTTTAAACACCACCTATAAGCTGCCGCATGGAGGGGCCGCTCTCCCCATTCACTGGAGACACATTTGGGCTGCTCCCACTCTCTCAGCTATAACAAATAACTCAGCTATCACTGTAGCAGCTAAGTTAATTAGGTATCTTGTAGGCAGTTAGGGCCAATTCTCCAGGAGTCCATACAAAGACAATTGAGGTGCACTCACCAAAGGTTAACATTAAAAAGAGAGGGGCTGAGGATTTAGTTCAGTGGTGCCACCGCCTGCTGCGCAAGTGCAAGGACCCGAGTTCAATCCCCGGTCCCCCAAAAAACAAAACAAAACTGCAAGGACCCGAGTTCAATCCCCGACACCAAAAAAAAAAAAAAGAGAGAGAAACTACTGCACCCACATAGTTCCCCTGGGGGTGAATGGCAGTGAGTGATATTCTACATAGACCTCGGTCACCTTAACTGGGGACCAGGCCACCCCTAGCTAGCCCATTCCTTCCGGGAAATCCATGTATGCTTGCTATGTGCCTAGCTTCCCCATTTGCTCTCCATTTAATCAGTATTACCTTGGCAACTATACTTACAGTTTTATTGGTTGATCGTGGTTTTGTCCCACCTTGCAATTTCCCATTGGACCTTATAGCTTTGGCCCATTTGTATTCGCCTCATCTTGTGGCTTTGCCCCATGAAACACCTTTGAGAAGCGGGATGGGCAGCCAACTCACTTTCTGTGTGTCCCCTCCGTCCCTCTCAGGCAGGAGCAGTCTTTCCCTCAATAAATATTCCTTACTCTTAACCTTTGTCCCTCAAATTCATTCTTCAATTTGAGAGAACACCAACTTACATTTCAGATATCTAGCAGGTTGGGAGTTTTAAAATATTTCCCTTGTTTGGATTATTTTTGCTTATTTGGATTACTTGGTGCCTGTATCACTATGATCTTCTCCTATACTGTTTTGTTTTTGGTACCCGGGATTGAACTGGGGACCTTGCACTTGCCAGGCAGGGGCAGTGCCACTGAGCTAAATCTCCAGCCCTATACTTTCTGTTTTGTTTTTGAGACAAGTTTCCACCATGTAGTTCAGGCTGGCCTTGAACTCAAGGCAATCCTCCTGCTTCAGCTTCCCAAGTGCTGGGATTACAGATGTGCGCCACCATGTCAGGGTTTTGCCTTATACTTTGCAGCAGCTGCCCAGCTGGTTTCTAGTTCCTGTCTGTCCATCCAAGCCAGACAGTCCTTTTTCAAACTCAAATCTAAAACTTACCTAGTTTAGAAAATTCAACGGGCACCGAAGGAATAAACTGGGCTCCAGGTCTGGCAGAAGAGGGCTGGAGCTGGAAGAACCCTAGCACCCCAGCTCTGAGCCCTGTACCCCACCTTATTCTGGCGCCTACCCAGAATGCCTTGCGGCTGTGTTCTGGGGGCAGCAGGAGGCTATGGGGTTCGGTCCTAGGGTGGACGGGGCCCCTGTGGTGGGCAGACATGATCTCAGTCCCTCCACCCCCAAGGGTGGAGATCACAGCCACCATACACCCATCTGTCACCTGCCGCCTCTACGGCTCTTACCTTTCTTGGCACCTTTCTTAATCTTTGAGTCCTGTGAGAGAGAGAGAGAGAGAGAGAGAGAGAGAGAGAACGAGAGAACCGTGAAACAAGATGTTCCCTGGAGGGGAGGCTGCCGGGGAGGGGCGGGTGCAGACCCAGGCTGTCCTAGGACTCCTACCCCCCCACGGCCGCCCTGGTCCAGGGGTCCCGCTCAACACCGAGGTGGCGGCCACGTCCCCTCTGCCCTCCTGCCCAGCCAGCCCTCTGTGAGGAGGACAAAGGTGGAGGTCAAGGGACATGGCTGGGCCCCATGGTACCCTGGCAAACGTCAGCCGGTCTGATTCCGGGGTGCGGATCACCCCAAAGTTGCACACAGTAGACACTACAGCCTCCCCGGCCAGCAGGGGCTCCAGGGCCACCAGGCCGCTGCCGAGAGCCTGCAGTGTGGGAGGGTCCTGGCACAGTTCCTTGGGGGCCTCTCTCTTCTTGTGCGACGCCTTCCTTTCCTGTGGACACCGGGAAGGTGGCAGGGGACAGGACAGGCGCCTGTGCCCTTCATGAGGCCCATGTCGTCACTGGCTTCGGCTTACCTGAGGGGGCTCCTCTGCTTTCCCTTTCCAGTCTTTCCTGTCTTTTTCCTTCTTCTTCTTGTCATCCTCTCCCTTTCCTTTCTTGGCTCCCTGGGGACTGTCAACGGGAGGGGTCACCACAGGCCAAGAGAGGATCTGGAGACAGGTGGCGGCCTTGAGCGAGCAAAGATGACAGAGGCTGGCCGGGGTCTTCAGGCAGGCGCCGAGCGGTGTCACCCCCTTTGCCCACCTTCTCCTCCATGATGGTCACTGTGGTCCCGGCCAGCAGGAAGCCCTTGAGCAGCCCCAGATCCCTGATGCTGTGTTGCGCCTCGTAGTTGCAGGCGATGACGTTGGCCCAAGGCTTGTGGTCCGTGCTGAAGGGGACTGTCCTGGGGGCGGCAGATGTGGCGCTGTCACCCAGGAGTGTGGCTGGGGTGAACAAGGCAGGGAGGGGCATCTAAGAAGACTACATGTGACAAACAGCATGAGACTGGATCCCCTGACACCACTGGAGAAGACAAAACAGGTACAGGGGACCCTTCCTTCTGGGAGAGGACTGTGGGAGACAACAGAGGGGCCCGACCACAACTGCAGCAAAGGGTTGAAAATGTCAACGTAGTCGTAGTTAAAAGGTAGAAACATCACAAACTCCCGAGTCTTTACAAACTGGCCCTCTCAATGGCAATGACCCGTCCTTTAGGTGTTACGGGTGACAAGTCCGACGTGGGATCTCAGGAGGGGAAAACAAGAGTCCCCCAGAACCTGTGCGAAAGAGGGCGACAGGGACTCGGACCGACATCGCTCACCATGTCCACCAGCCCGAGGCGGACAGAGCCCACGTGTCCACTGCCAGACGAATAAATGAATAGACGTGGCTGCCCCAATAGGGGCACTGGCAGCCTTGAAAAGGAATCGCAACACGCCACAGCGAGGACAGATCTGAGAAGGAATTGTGCTCAGGGAAACAAGCCTCAGGCCAAGGGACAGGGACCACGATTTCGGAGTCACCCACAGCAGTCGCACAGAGACAGAAATAAGATAGTAGAGGAAGTGGGACTGCGAGTGTTGTTTTGCTTTTGCAGTACTGGGGATTGAACCCTGGGCCTATCATACGTCACACACCTCTTATTTGGGGACATGATCTCCCTAAGTCACTAAGTTGCCCAGGCTGGACTTGAACTTGAGATCCTCCTGCCCTAGCCTCCAAGAGTCCTGGGATCACAGGTGTGCGCCATTGTGCCCAGCCCAGCCCAACCCAGCCCAGCCCAGCCCAACTCAGCTCAGCCCAGCTCAGCCCAGCCCAGCTCAGCCCAGCCCTGCTTCCAGTGGAAGCTTAGGCGGGTTGAGGAAGAACCCAAACCCACGGCCTCGGCTGACTACCGAGTCGCCCCTGGGGGCAGCAGGGGGCAGCAGTGCGGCTGGGGCGGGCCGGGACCCTGGGGACCCAGACGCTCGGCTTGGCTCACTCCTCACCCCGGGGAGGGGCACAGCCGGGGGTCCATGCGCGGCCTCAGCTTGCCCAGCTCCTCCCCGGAGGCTGAGAATGGCGGCCGGGCGGCCGAGCAGCCTGAGACCACGGAGGACTCGGACTTCTGCTCCGTGGTTTCCACCGACGCCAGGGACTCCTCGGCCAAGTCCTCAGCGAGCTCCTCCCCGAGCAGCTGGGCGCTGGACCGAGGCTTCACCACCTGTGGGGGAGCGGACAAGGCCTGCTGTGGCCCCGGCATCCTCTGCACCGGGCGCACCCAGACGCAGACGCCAGGGTCTTGGGGCGGTTTCTGCGGTGCTGCGGATGGAACCCGAGCCCGGGTACAGGCTGCGCACGCACGGGACCGCGCAGCTGCACTCCGGCCCTGCTTGGGAACTGGGCACAGAAATAAATTAACTTTTGTTTTCTTTTTTTGAGACAGGTCTTGCTATGCAGTTAGGCTTGGCCTTGAACTCGCAGCGATCCTCTTGCCTCAGCCTCCTAAAGTACACGAGCTACCACATACTTACTTTAAGGATGGAGGGCCGGGGATTTAGCTCAGTGATTCTGCCGCCTGCCTCGCAGGCGCAAGGTCCCGAGTTTGATCCCCGGTACCTCCCCGCCCCCAAAAGGATGGGCCCGGGGCAGGCCTGCAATCCCAGCACTCAGGAGGCTGAGTCTGGAGGAGCCAAGTTCGAGCCCAGACTGGGCAATTTAATAACTCGGCAAGAACCTGTCTCAAAATTGAAAATTTGAAAAGGGATGGAGATGTGCCTGGGAGCAAAGGCCGGGGTTCAGTCCCCAGCACTGGAGGGGCCGCCCTGCCTGCGTCCGGAGCTCCCTGTGCGCACCTCGGCCAGGACCCCGCCGTGCTCGCTGGCCTCGCCGTCCTCCCCTCCCAGGAAGTCGTAGGTCACGTAGTAGCTGTAGGCCACAAAGGGGCCTTTGGGCCCGGGCTCGGGGTCCAAGACAGAGGAGTCCACGACTCCCCTGATGTTCCCGACGGTCACCACCAGCTGCGCGTCCTGCGGCAAGAGGTCTGTGGACCGAGGGCCGCGCTGAGGGGCTGCGGGCCGGACCCTCCCTCCTTCCCTGCCCAGCCCGAGGTGACCCTGAGAAGCCCTGTCCCCACCCCGAAGGGGCCGGAAACTCGGGGACCTCTGGGCTGCGTCGCGCCGTGGGCCGCGGGCCACAAGGGGGCGACCTCACGCCGCCGCGGGAGGAGACGCAGGGAGGAGACGCAGGGAGGAGGCGCCCCTCCGCCCCTCCGCCGCCGCACCCACCGCCTTGCTGGCCCAGCCCGCGGAACTGGTGCCGCTCGTGCGGGGACACGGTGACGTCGTCCAGCACGCAGAGCCGAGCCAGGCTGTCCACGGTGAAGCCGCGGTAGTGCGGCAGCAGCGCCAGCGGGTTCCCCTGCAGCACCAGCAGCCGGAGGCGGCCCAGCGAGCGCAGCGCGGCCACCATGGCCCGCAGGTCGGTCAGGTCGTTGAAGCCCAGGTCCAGGGAGACGAGGTTGGGCCTGGAGGGGAGCCCGGGCGGAAACGCTGCCCACCTTGCCCGCGACATCGCCATCGCCATCGCCTCTCCCTGTCCCCGCACAGCCTCTCTCCGGGCCTCCACGCCCGTTCTGCCCGGGATGGCCTCCGCCAGTCAGTGGGAAAGGCGCAGCCTACAGGCAGCCTCAGCCTGCCTCAGAGAACTGGGAAGCTGGGTGCGGTGGCACACACCTACGATCCCAGCCTTGGGAGGCTGAGGCAGGAGGATTGCAAGTTCTAGTTCCTCCTGAGCAACTTAGTGCGACCTTGTCTCAAAATTTAAAAGGGTTGGGGATGTAGCCCAGTGCCAAGTGTGTGCGTGGGGATGGGACCTGGGAAACATCAGCAAAATCAATGCACAAGAAACACGTCCTCCTTTGAACTCCAGAACAGCAAACATTGGAGGTTTCACATACACATTTCTACACAATCCACATTAAGCACCGACACTGAGCACCAACTTGTTGTGGTAAGTATGTTTTGCAAATCAAAATCCAGAATACAGCCAGGCACTGTGGCTCATGCCTGGAATCCCAGTACTATGGGAGGCTGAGGCAGGAAAATCTCAAGTACAAGCCTAGCTTGGGCAACTTGCAACTTAGCCAGCCAGACCCTATCTCAAACGTTTCTCAAAACTCCAAAACAAAAACAACCCCTGCCCCAAATCAGAATGCTTGGCCCCCTGTCAATAGCAGGAGCCTAAACTGGCTGTGCCTAGAAGTCAAAGTCAATAGGTCCCCGCCTATCCTGTGGCCCCTGATGGCCGCAGCAGTGGGAGCTGGGAAGCCCAACTCAGCCAAGGGCAGGACTGCAGCAGGCCTGAGAAGGGGTCACGGTCAGTGGGCGTCCCCCTGCAGGGCCGGGTGGGGGGCACCCCAGGGCCTCCTTGGTCATCTGGGGGCTGGGAGAGGATGCTGCTACCCAGGATGCTCTGGGAAGCCCTTGGGGCCCAGCTCCCTGCAGCAGCCTATTGTGGGTCCTCTTGGGTCCCCTGTCAGACCCAGGGGACAAAGTCACACAGCAACAGTCAGGGGATTCTATTCTGCACAACCTCTAATGGACAACGGATCTTCAGCATCGAAGCAGCACCCTCTAGACAGGGCTCAAGTGGGGGTGACATGGTCCCTTGGGTATTGTCTGCAGACATTTTTGGAGGGGAGGAACAGTGTCTCACATATAGTTCAGGCTGGCCTTGAACTATGTAGCTAAGGCTGGCCTCAAACTCACAGCAATCCTCCTGCCTCAGCCTCCCGAGTGCTGGGATTACAGGTATGCGCCACCCTGCCTGGCTCAGTGGGGTTTGTTATGGATTCAGGGAACAGAAGCACAAGTCTGGCGTTGGCAGTGGTCAGGACTTTAAGGGAAGGTCCAAATCCTCCACCCCCCTCCAGTGCCCTGGTTACCAGTGGCTGGCGGTGAGGTAGCGGCTCTCTGAGGGGCTGCGCAGCTGATTCTGGCCCAGCCCCAGGTGCTGCAGGCCGGGTGGCGGGTGTGCACACAGACACTCCGTGCTGCTCAGCTCGTTGCCGTACAGCTCCAGCACCTGGGGCGACAGCAGAGGCCGCGCTGGGCACCTCCGGAGAGGGGCTGAACTGTCCCTGTCCTGCTCTCCTGTGCCCGACTGGTGTCTGTCTGTCTCTGAGATACCAGGATCGAACCCAGGGCCCTCACACTGAGCTACATCCCTAGCCCTTTTACTTTTTTTTTTTTTCGGTACCAGGGATTGAACTCAGGACCTGTGGAGCTGCCCAGCCTCCTCCTCTCTGAGGCCTCGTGTTGTGTCCTCCTGAGCACAGAGCCGTGCCTGAGCCACCCCGGCCTATCACCCGCTCTGCGTTTAGCACAGTCGGGGCTGAGGGCTCATGGGAAGCCTAGCCTAGGTTTTTATCTTTTCTGTGTGTGGTAAAGCATCTGTAAGATAAATTTGTCATTCTGGCCACTGTGTAGTGTACGATTCCGTTGTGTTCATGGCACTCGTAGCCTTGAGCCACCACCCTCCAAAACCTTTCACTGCCTGGAGCAGAAACTCAGATTCCCACCAGTAACTTCCCACTACAAAATTTGTCCTTTTATGTCTGGCTTCTGTCACTGCCTGGGAGGTCTTCTAGGTCCACCCATGTCGTAGCAGCTATCAGAGTTCCTTTCTTTTTATGGGTGCATAGTATTCCACTTTCTGGATGGATCTCATTTCCTGTACTTGTCTGGTTACAGACATATGGATCTGCTCCACCTCTGAGCCATGGTGAACACAAGTGGACAAGGACCTGTCTGTGTCCTTGCCTTTGCTCTTTAGGGTGCACATCAGGAAGGGAGCTGAGGCGCATGGGAACTGGGCTGGGCTTCTGAGTAACATGGTCTATATTTTTAATGCCTTGGGTTGGGCCTCAGCACCCAGCCACCTTGTGGGGCTGGTCAGGGCAGGGGCTCTGGGGGTGCTGACTCAAGACCCAGGTGGAAGCGGGGCTCCTGTACCTTGAGCATGGGGGGCAGGTTGGCGGCATCGACTTCCTTGATCCGGTTGGCGCTCAGGACCAGCTCCTCCAGCTTCAGGAACTTCAGGAGGTCTCCACCCACCTGGCTCACCTGGAGGGGACGGGAGGAAGCCGGGGCTGGGTGTCGGGTCCGGGCCCCACCCCCCAGGGCCTTCCCTGCCCCTCCCCCGACAGTAGTGACCTGTGATCCCCTGGCCAGCAGCTGGCGTCCCTCCTTAGATGCCAGCGTTTTCAGGAGGGCGGGAACCCTGTCTTCCATGCTGTCTACACCTGGCATGGAAGCCAGTTCAGGTCTTCTTTGGTTTTGTTTTTATGAAACAGGGTCTCACACAGTTCAGGCTGGCCTCAGACTCACTATGTAGCCCAGGCTGGCCTCAGACTCGTGGTAATCCTTCTGCCTCAACCTTCTGAGTGCTCAGTTCAGGTCTGTAGGAATCACTGACTTACACAGAGCAGGATCAGACTAGGAGCTCCCGCGGGACCGTGAATCCCAGGTTCCTGGCCACAGCAACCAACCAGTTTGTTCTGGGCTCCCCTAAGCTCTCCTTGTGCACGCTGGGAAAGTCCCAGGCAGACTGGCCAAGGGAAAGGAAACAAGTTCTGGGAGAGCAAGACCCAGTTCCCATATGACCTCCAGACCCTACTACTCATCGGGCGATGAAGGCGTTTTAGGGACAGAAATCGATAGTTAGCACTGTGACGCCCCTCCCCTGCAGGTCCCCACATTTTGTATCAAGTTAAAACCAATCTCAACCTTTCGAGAGGTCTTTTTTCTTTTCTTTTGTGGTACTGGTGATTAAACCCAGGGCCTTCACACTAAGCTACATCCCCAGCCTAATTTCACTTTTTATTTTTATTAAGATTTTTTTTTTTGGTACTGGGAATCGAACTCAGGTCCTTGCGCTTGCGAGGCAGGCGGCGGAACCACTGATCTAAATTCCCTAGTTTTTATTTTTGAGACAGGGTCTTGCTAAGGCAGTAAGTTGCCCAGGCTAGGATTGAATTTGAGAACCTCCTGCCTCAGCCTCCCAGAGTGCTGAGATTGCAGGTGTGTGGCGCCACACCCAGCTTCTCTTGAAGGGTGCAGCAGGGAGATATGGACAGAGCAGCTGAGCACCGCTGGCTTGCTGGACATGCTGGGAGCTTGGATAGGCAGAGGCAGGGCTGGCCTGGGTTGGTCCCACTGGGGACCCCTAAAGTTCCACTCACTCCTGCCCTACCTGCTTGCCCACTACCCGCAGGGACCGGAAGTAGGAGTAGAAGAAGGTGTCTCTGATCATCAGCGGGCTCTGGATGGCCAGCTCTCGCAGAAAGCGGTCCTCAGCACTGGAGTCCTCGGGCAGAGCCCAAAGCGACTGAGGACTGCGCACCAGGTCCAGCAGGGCCTCCACCAGCTCCTCCCCAGGGCCCACGGCTGCCTCCTCCCCAGGCACCAGCTTCTTCCAGGCTCGCCGAGTGGGCGGAAGGAAGCGGGATCTGTTCTGCAGGGGCAGAGGAGAGGAGTGACCCTGGGTCTCACCCGACCCTCTTGGGGACTGACAGTCACCACTGATGAATCTAAGGGAACCGCAGCCACGGCTACGGCAAGGGGAGACAGGAGATAGCTCAAGGCTGATCCCTGCCTGCAGGCCTCTACTCCGGAGCTGGGGACGGTGGACATGCAGAGTCAAAGGCATATTAGACACGAAATTCACAAAGATTGGTGGACTACCAGCCAGGAGGCTCTGAAGACAAATAGGGAGATACAATTCATCAAGGAAGCCCCTGGAAACGAGGTGGCCAGGCTGGAAGGTGAACTCAGCACTTCAGACACAGGAAGTGGAAGATGGGAGCTCATTCCCAGAATTTATTCTAGTCCCTTCCAGGAGGCTGCTGAAACACAGCTTTTCAGACTCTGTGGGGTTTGGGGCTTTGTTGTTTGTTTGTTTTTTGCAGTGCTGGGGATCAAACCCAAGGCCTCACACATGTAGGCTAAGTACTCACCACCGAGCTACACCCCAAACCTAGATCCAGTTCTGAAAGCATAAAGCCTGGCACAGTGCCTGGGATATAGTAGCTGCTCAGGCAACACCTGCTGACTAAGTAAATCATGGCCTCTTTCCCGCTGTGCCTTGGTTTTCCTGTGAGGAAGGACACAGGTTTTCCTGTACCCTGAGCTGGGGTTGGGGGGACCAGCTTCCTTCCTGGGCCACCAGACTCCTTGGGAGCGCTCCAGGCTCTCCTGAGCAGCCCATTTAAATGTCTTGCTCCTCGTCTCCACCCTGTACACCCCGCTGATGACAGGGCTGCTTGCAGGAGGTGTACACACAGAACCAAAACAGGAATGAGCCTTCCCGGGCGCCAAAACCAGATTTTCCTTCTTGGAGAGGCGGCAGCTGTGCCCCATGCTGTACTTCTGCCTGCCTTCCGGCTGTGGACCAGGCTCTCTTCCTGGGCCACAACTCATTTCCCTCCGGGTGCAGCGACAGGCGGGTTAGGGTTAGGAAGGCCTGGGCCTCAGAGCCGAGGATGGAGAAGCGGAAGACCCTAACCCGCTGGGCCCTCAGAAGGGGAGACCTGCACCTCAGAGCTGGCTGGGCTCTCACGAGCCCTTGGGCTCCGTACACTGGAGAAACTGCTCAGACCAAAGCTCTTCACCCCAAAGACGCCCAGAAGCCCCGGTGCAGGGCGTCCCCACACTTGCAAGAAACCCTGGCCCGGATCTGCCTGTGTTCGGATCGGCAGTGCCCTCGGTCCTGGGTCAGGGTCCTCAGGCCCGGTGGGGGTCTAGGGCGCCCGCCCCGCAGGGTCCCGGTCCCCACCAGCACTAGCACCGCCGAGCGGACCGCTCTCCAAATGCCCAGATCGGATCCGCCACTGCTGCGTCCGGGCCCCTTATGCCCATCCCCAGCCCAGCCCAGGTCGGTGACCCCAGGGCCACCCAGCTCCCAGCTACTTCCCTCCCCTGGGGCTGGCCCTGGTTTCCTGGTCCCCGCACCCAGCTGCCGGTGCCGCACGGGAACTCGCACAGACACAGCTGCCGCAGGTGCTCTTTCACAGCCGAGCTCACGGTGCCGGGCGCGCTCTCGCTCCCAGCGCTGGCCGCCATGTCGCCAGCCACCACCCTGCGCTGCTAGGCAACCGCGAACGCGTGCGCCTGCGCGCTAGGGCCGGCGCGGGCTCCAACTACCCAGACCCAGGCTCACAGAGCCCGCAAAACCCTGGGTGGTCTCTTCCGACCACTCCTGTGACAGTGGGGTCATCGGTCACACGCGGAGCCCAGCAGACTGATGGTTTCGGCTGCTGCAGCACCCAGCACAATTTGAACACCTGATCCCGTTTTTCTTTCTCATCCCAAGGCCTCTCCGTGGAAAATGCTAGCAGATCTAGAAAGGAGCAATGAGCCCACGGCCACAAACCTTAAGACTCCAACTTAAGACTCCCTTCCCTGCGTGGCTCTCTCTGGGTTCATCACTGTCGCCTGCACGGGCTGTATCAGCGCAGCGGGTGACCTTGGTTTGGACAGTGCTGTGTGGAATCGGCAAAGACACCATCTCTGGAGAGAGAATTTCCGTATCAGAAAACTCTTCCATTCCAAGTGTATAATGCTGTTTTTAGTACATTCACGATGCAGCTATGTACATGCTGAAACTATCACTGAAATCTAATTTTACACTTTCTTCAACCTACAAGGGACTATGGCTATATAAGCAATCAAACCCCATTCCCATCTACTTAGCCTCTGGCCATCACTAATACGCTGTCGAAGGATTAGATTGTTGTTTATATTACATGTCAGTGGAATCACATACTCTTTTTTTTTTTTTTTTTTTTTTGGTATGGGGGATCGAACTCAGGACCTTTCCCTTGCTAGGCAGGCGCTGGAACCGCTGAGCTAAATCCCCAGCCTCATCTGTATCTCTTGAATAACCAGTGATGTTGAATATTTTTTCATGTTTACTTGCTTTTACTTCTTTGTCTGAGAATGTCTGTTCATTTCAGATGCCCATTTTTGAATTGAGCCTTAAATTTGGGGGGTCTGAATTTTAAAAGTTTTTTGTATATTCTAGATAGTAGACCTCAGTCTGAGGAACAGTTGGTAAAAAATTTTTCTCACATTGTGGGCTGTCTCTTCACTCTGTTGGTGGTTCTCTTGCAGTGCAGAAGCTTTTTAATAAGCTGAGATCCCAGTTGTTGATTCTTTGAGCTAGCTCCTGTGCTACTGAGGTTTTGTTCATAAAGTCTGTTCCTATTCCAGTGTCTTCAAGAGTTCTGCCTAACCTATCTTCCAGCAAGTTTAGTGTTTGTTTGAATATTTAGATCTTTAATTCACTTTGATTTTAGTTTAATGCATGGTGAAAGACAGGGGTCTAGTTTTAATCTTTGGGAGGTTGAAATCCAGTTTTTCCAACACCATTTATTAAATAGGGTATCTTTCCTCCAGTGAGGGTGGTTGGCTCCTTTGTCAAAAATGAAGTGGCTGAGTATGTCTGGAGTTGCATCTGCATCTTTTAATCTATTCCACTGATCCTCAGGTCTGTTTCTTTGCCAGTACCATGCTGTTTTTATCACAATAGCTTTGCAGTATAGTTTCATGTCGGGGATTGTGATAGCCCCCCAGCCATGTCTCTGTTGCCTAGAATTGCTTTTGCTATTCTAGGTCTCTTCTGGTTCCAAATGAATTTTTGGTTTTCTTTAGTTCTCAGAAATATACTGTTGGGATTTCAATTGAGATTGCATTGAATCTATATAACAATTTTGGAAGTATGGCCATTTTTACTATATTCATTCTTCCTTCCCAGAAATAAGGGATGTCTTTCCATTTCCTTGTATCCTCCTCTTCCATCTCTTTTTCCAGTGTCCTGTAGTTTTCAAGGTAGAGGTCTTTTACTTCCTTCATTAGATTGATTCCTAGATATTTTCTTTTTTGGGGGATGCTATTGTGAAAGGAATTGTTTCCCCAAATTCTCAGTGTTATTTGTATACGAGAAGGCTATTGATTTTTGAGTGTTGACCTTATATCCAGCTACTCTGCTAAATCTGTCAATTAAGTCTAGAAGTCTTTTAGCAGAGTTTTTTGGGTTTCCTATGTAGAGTGGCATGTCCTCAGGAAATGACAGTTTAACTTCTTCCTTTTCTACCTTTATTCCTTTTATTTCTTTCTCTTGTCTAATTGCTGTCTCACCCCAATACTTATACAACAGTTTTTCAAGTTTGATGAAGTGTAATTTATTTTTTCCCTTCAGTTGGTTGTACTTTTGTTGTCATTTTTAAGAAACTGTTGCCAACTCCGTTGAGTTTTGAGCCTGCTTTACATATCTTGCTCATGGGTCCTTTCTCAGATTTGTGGTTTGCAAACACTCTTCTCTCGCTGTAGGTTTGTCTTTTCATCCTCTCTTCAGTGTCTTTAGAAAAGCAAAAACATGGGCCAGGGATTTAGCTCGGTGGTTTTGTTGCCTGTTGCGCAAGCGCAAGGACCCGAGTTCGATCCCCGGTACTGGAAAAAAAAAAAAAAAGAAAAACAATTTTATTTTGAGCAAATCAACCAATTATGACCTTTCCAAAAACATCCCCTGTGGTGGATATCCACTGTTATTTCTTTGGTACTGGGGATCAAACTCAGGACCTTGTGCTTGCGAGGCAGGCGACGGCACCACTGAGCTGAATCCCCGGCCCTGTTCTTTTTGACTGCCCTACATTGGAAAAGCTTTACTATTGCTAGAAAAATTAGAAGCCAGATGTGGTTGCCCACACCTGTGATCCCAGTGCTTGAGAGGCTGAGACAGGAGGATGCCGTAAATTCCAGGACAGCCTGGGCTACATAGTAAAACTCTATCTCAACCAAAAAGAAAAAAAGATTATCCCAAACTGGGAAATGAAGCAAAAAGATGACCATTTGTCCTTTGAAATAATAAAACAAATCCCCAGGGATCTTTAGTGCGCTAAACAAACTGAGGCAAGGAGCCACAGCTGGTCCCTTGGGTTTGGTTTTGTTTTGTTTTTTGAGACAAGGTCTTGCTATGTAGTCCAGGCTGGCCTTGAACTCACTATGTAGCCCAGGCTGTCCTTGAACTCAATATGTAGCCCAGGCTCACACCTCAAACCCTACAGAAAATAGGAATAGATGGTCTTTATATCTCAATCTGATAAAAGCCATCTAAGACAAACCAACAGCCAACATCATACTAAATGGACAAAAACTGAAAGCTTTCACTCTAAATCAGGAAACAAGACAAGGATGTCCACTGTCACCACTCTTATTCAATATAGTTCTGGAAACATTAGCCAGAGCAATTAGACAAGAGAAAGAAATAAAAGGAATAAGGATAGGAAAGGAAGAAGTTAAACTATCATTATTTGAGGATGACATGATACTCTACATAGAAGACTTCAAAAACTCCATCAAAAGGCTTTTAAATTTGATGACCAAATTCAGTGGCATAGCTGGATACAAAGTCAGCACTCAAAAATCAATAAACTTCCTGTACACGAATAGTAGACCCATGGAGAGAGAAATTAGAGAAACAACCCCTTTCACAATAGCATCCAAAACATCGAAATACCTAGGATTCAGTCTAACGAAGGAAGTCGGAGACCTCTACATTGAAAACTACAGTACTCTGAAAAAGGAGATCAAAGAGGATATCAGAAAATGGAAAGACATCCCTGTTCTTGGATGGGAAGAACCAATATAGTGAAAATGGTCATACTTCCAAAATTGTTATACAGATTTAATGCAATCCCAAACAAAATCCTAACAGCATATCTCACAGAATTAGAAAACAAAAATCCTAAAATTAATTTGGAACCAGAAGAGACCTAGAATAACAAAGGCAATTCTGGGTAGCAAAAGCAAGGCAGAGGGCATCACAATCCCTGACTTTAAATTATACTACAAAGCTACTGTGTTAAAAATTAAAAAACCAGCATGGTACTGGGAAAAAAAACAGGAACTGAGGATCAATAGAACAGACTAGAGGATGCAGAAACAACTCCAGACATATTTAGCCACTTAATCTTTGACAAAGGAACCAAACACCTTCACTGGAAGAGAGACAGCCTCTTTAATAAATGGTGCTGGAAAAGTGGGTTTCATCTTGCTGAAGATTGCAACTAGATCCATATCTCTCACCAAGCACTAAACTAAAATTGAAATGGATCAAAGATTTAAATATTAAAACAGAAACACTAAACCTGCTGGAAGAGAGAATAGGTAGAATTCTTGAGGACATAGGAGTAAGTAAAGACTTCATGAACAAAACCCAGACCTCACAGGAAATACTACATGGAATCAATAACTGGGATCTCATCTTATTAAAAAGCTTTTGCGGGCCAGGGATTTAGCTCAGTGGTTCAGGTGCCTGACTCGCAAGCGCAAGGTTCCGAGTTCGATCTCTGGTACCAAAAAAA